AGAGAGAGAGAGAGAGAGAGAGAGAGAGAGAGAAAGAGAGAGAGAACGCGGCAGGGGAGACACACAGAGACACAGAGACAGAGAGAGAGAGAGAGAGAGAGAGAGAGAGAGAGAGAGAGAGAGAGAGAGAGAGAGAGAGAGAGAGAGAGAGAGAGAGAGAGAGAGAGAGAGAGAGAGAGAATGGGGGAAGAAAATATAAAGATTCAATAGTAATAATAAAATTGGTTTTAAGGAGAAAACGGGAAACTGAGTTTAATGGAGCGAAAGAGAATTAGGAGACCAGGTGTTGCATAATTAGCTATTCCTAGAAATCAACTAACTGGCAAGGATCAAAAAGGACAAAAGTGATGACACCTAATTAGGCCGCAAGGAGTATTAATTAAAGGGAGAATTGTGATGAATGATGGTAATTGAGAGAATATAAAGGTCAGACTTAATGAGGAGAATATAATTTTTGGCTGAGAACAAGTTAAGACTTTCTTAAGTGATTTAATTGAGCTGTCCAAAAAAATTTAACAGAGAAAAAATACTTAGGGTAATTAGCGATAATTAAAACTTTTAGAAAATCGTTTAATTTTTAGCAAAAAGTGTAATTAGTCTTAAATTGCCATTTGGGTCATCACGAGAAACTTAACAATCAAAAATCACATTGATTCCCACTGTAGGAAACAAGACATAATTAGATAAGACTAATTAAATTTTCTAATTAGAACAAATCATCCTAATTATCCTTAATTACCCTTAATTGAATTGGGTTTGGCATTCAATTAGAGGTGGGAAACGAGAAACCTTCCTGAAAAATGTCAAAAAAAATCAATTCAACTTTTTTTTGCTAATTGATCGCTTGGCTATAACAGTTCGATGTCAATTATTATATTCTGAGAAAATTGGGAGCATTCAGAAGAAAAATTAGTAATAGTTAAATCGAGATGATTACTGCATAATTAAGAGAGAAACCTAATTAATTAGTCATTCTGTTTTGAAGACGTCTCTCGGCAATTCTCCACAGCACAACATTAAATTAGTCTCCGCCCACTCTCTCTCTTTTTCCCAAATTGGCCTTGGTCCTCTTTTCTCTTTCTCTCTCTCTCTCTCTCTCTCTCTCTCTCTCTTTCTCTCTCTCTCTCTCTCTCTCTCTCTCTCTCTCTCTCTCTTTCCCCCTGTTCCCTCACAAATTGGTCGATAATTGCATCGTTTCGAGGGGTATAGAAGTGAGGAAAGAGAGGAAAATAACACAGAACACAGAGATAGAAAACAACGACACAAAAAACCCCGTCTTTTCTTTTTCGGGGCCTCACAGCACCAGCACCACCACAACCAGCAAAATGTATGAATACATCTATATTTTTTGTTTTGGAAACAAAAAAATAACGGGAGGGGTTGAGGCACTACCAGCACGGGAAGAAACCCCGACTAGAAAAAATATGAAGGAGTTCCCGTCCCGCACCAAAAAATTCTTCTTCTTTTCCTAGCACAAACCCTTCCCTCCCTCAACCAATTGAAATTTGAGACGACGAGGGATCGTGGGTCTATTGTTCCACATTGGTTTGGGTGAAAATTGGCCAGAAAACTGCTATTGTTTATATTATGAGGGTGAATAAATGGTTTAATTGAAGTTATTCAGAAATATATAAAAATATGAAAAAAATAGATATATATATAATTAAGCCCAATTATCAGATAATTAATATTTTCAGGATGATAACTATTGGAATGTACAGTTCTTACCGTATTTGGGCAGATTTATTTACCTTAACCACTCTAATCGAGCTTGATTATCTCCATTTCTACAAGAGATATCAAAAATATGTCAACTAAAAAAATGTTGGAAATATTATGACCAACATTTTATCAGTTAACAACATTTTCATAGCTTTTGAAGGAACCGAGACAATTCAGCTCAAAGTGCAAGAATAGGGTCTTCTATTAAAGTTTTTACGCTATCTTTCTTATCAGTCTCCAATAGCTTCTCATTGCTCAGGCGGAACCATATTGGATTTCGCTCTAAACATAGAAAACGTTTGAAAAACTTATCATAATTTCAGGGAATTTCAAACTTTACTGATTCACTTCACATAATTCTTCAGAACACGTATTTGCCGTAAAACTTGTAATAGAAAGGTCCCCACACTGTTAAGTTTGAGCTCAAGTATATCGGTTTCTATGCAAGATATCAAAATATGTCGACTGATAAATTGTTTGTGATGGTAAAATACAAAATTTATCAGTCTCCAATTTTTTTCTATCTTTTCCAGAAACTAGTAAAATACACCCAAGCTAAAAATTTGGACAATTCAACATCAAAACAGAACAAATTTACATTTAAAATTGCTCTAATCAAAACAAGAAATTCACCGGCGAACGTCTGTTGACTGGCGGTACCAGTTGAAATAGTATTCGTCAAACCAAAATATGGCGAAAGAAAAAAAATTTTTTTTGAAAAAATAAATTATTTTTCGAACGAAAATTGGCTTGTTGACTTGACTGATATAACGAGAACAAAGAGTGATAAGAGTTTTGAGAAGAGAACATAATTTTGTCTGGTTTCTCGAAAAGCATGTGATCTCTAATTATAAGGCTTCCGCATGAGCTGATAATTGGAGCAAACGTTCGAATCTAATTTCCTGCATGTTCCTTCTTATGATAGTTTTTTTAATGTATATCAGTTCAATGAGAACTTCCAAGTATAACCGAAAAATATGGGGTGACAAAATAATAAATTGCAGCGAAAAAAGAAATGATGAGGCAGAGGGGAAAATACGATAATTAGGTGCGGTTTGGACGGAGGGGTTTTGCACGGAGAAGAATAAGTGAGAGACAAATTATCGACTGATAATTAAGACGTATGTACATACACACATGCTGTCATTTTCACATATAATCGGAGGAAATTGCAATTTGTGAGGTGAGCGAAGTGAAGGGAATTATGTCTTGATGTCCAGTGTCTACATTCTATTAGCATGTAGTTTTTGAAAATCAATTTTGTAATAGATCGCGAATACAAAAAATATGGACTGGTACAATTCCAGAGCTCCGTTTTTTCAACATTTCAGAATAATGAAAAACCATTATTACGAAAATTTTGTTTATTTTCTGTTTTCTTTGAT